GGTGGAGGAGGTTGGCTGCAGGTATGCCCGTCTGTGAGTGGGGGCACCGGGGACTGTGGCCGGGCTGAGCCGTGGCCAGGAGCCAACCCTCTCTCTGGACATGGTGGCTGCTGCCTGCTCACAGCTGCAAAGATTCCACGTAGTGTGCAGAGCCAGCGAAGGGATGCTCTTACAGGGACCCCTTCCCTCGGTGTCGCCCTCTCTGTCCCTGTCTTTTGTTGTTGTTGTTAAATATATTTTTATTGATTCAGAGAGGAAGAGAGAGGGAGAGAGAGATAGAAACATCAATGATGAGAGAGAATCATTGATTGGCTGCCTCCTGCACACCCCATGCTGGGGATCGAGCCCGCATCCAGGGCATGTGCCCTGAGCGGGAATTGAACCGTGACCTCCTAGTTCATAGGTCGGTGCTCTACCCCTGAGCCACGCCGCTGGGCTCTCTGTCCCTGTCTCCTAACGTCTCTGTTTCTCTCTGTCTCCGTGTCCCTGACTGCAGGCAGCACCTCTGCTTGGCCCACGGGTGGCACTGGTGGGGCATTCCAGGCCCTTCTGCTTCCACTGGCTGAGGAGAGAGTGGACAGCTCCAGGGGGGATGAAGGGACTCGGAGTGACCCTTGTTGGCCATGAGGGCAGGCTGGGCAGCGGCCACCAGCATGATCCCCTTGGCCACTGGGGCTGGTCCTGGGGGATCTTGGGCACCAGAGCTTGGTTTGCCAGTGGGCAGCCCAGGCACCTGGCGAGTTTGGGTGCAGTGACCATACGTGGGTCAGGGAGGTGGAACCCTCCAGGGACAGGGGCCTGGGCGGCTCCCAGAGGCAGGAGTCACGCCCGGGACTGAGGCCCACGTGTGTTCGGGCCTGGGCAGGGGTGGGGGAGGGTGCTCACCCCACCAGCAGCTCCTCCAGCCCCTTCTTGATGGCGCAGTCCGTGTAGGTGCCCTTGCCGAAGTACTTGACCGCGTCCACGCTGGCCTTGAGCGCGTCGCGGCCGCTGGGCATGCGCGTGAGCCCCTGGATGATCTCCACCTCGTCGCTGTAGTGCAGCGCGCCCGCGTTCCACACCAGGTTGCGGTCGCAGCGGTAGTACCTGCGGGCGCGAGGGGTGAGCATGAGCCTCCGGGCTGCGCCCGTGTTCACCGGCACCCGGGGCTGTCCACCCAACGCAAGGTGGCCGCCTCTCGCAGATGGAAGAGCACTCCGGCCCATTGCGCCCCAGAGGACGGAGCCTGGGCTGGACTTCACATGGGCCCTAAGACGCCTGCTCCCTGGCCTGGTGGCCAAGCCTGGGAAGGCCCGCAAGGTCAGGAGGCACCGGCTCCAGCCAGCCTACAGCAGCCTCGGCTCCTGATCTCCAGGGAATTCGGCTGAGAAGCTGTGTGGGCCTGGACACTGATGGGCAGGGCGATGGGGGCAGACCCGCAATGGGAGGGCAGAGAGGTGTAGGTTAGGGGGACTCGGCAAGGCCAGTTCTAAGCAGGACACTGGTGAGCGGTCCCCATGATCTGACTGGGGGGCCTCTCTCTGCTGTGTGCACCTGGACCCTGATGTTCTCAGTTTTGTTCTGCCCAGGCCTGGGGGTGGCCTGCCAGGCAGCCCATTAAGCAGATGGAGTGACTGAGGCTCCTGTGGTCATGCCAACAGTAGCAACCACAAGAGGAGCCTATTCCAGTTCACAGGTGGGGAAACTGAGCCACAGGGGGTTGAGTAGGAGGCCAAGGCACATGGAGGGAGATGGCGGCCCAATGGCTGCCCCAGTGTTCCTCCCCAGGCACCGTCCACACAGCCCAGCACCTGGGCATTTGGGGTACGTGCGGGGCCTCAGGTATCATAGCGCCCTGCATTGGGCAGCCACGCCCTCTGTCCCTGCAGCCCCTTTTGGTACGGGAGGTTCGGCCCGGTCAGCAGGTCAGTAGGGACAGAGAGGGTCTAGGGATGGGGCCCTGCACAGATGGGCCGGGGAAGAGTTGGGTTCTGACCTATGCCCCTCCGCCCTCTATTCTGTCCTGTCCTTGGCCACACCCATTGCTCCAGGCTCTCCCCACCCCACCTTCCCAGTGCTGCTGATTGGTCACACGGATGAATGAGGGAGGGAGGGAATGAATGAAGTGTGCCATGCCCAAACCCAGAGAACCAAGCTGGCAGCCCTCCCAGGCCCTCTGTCTGTGACACTGGGTACACTGGGACATTGCGTCTGGACACAGGCTCTGACCAGTCATGTGGGCAGCGGCTAGTGTCCAGATGGTTGGCAAGCTCCGGTCAGAGCCGCAGGCCAACTCCCTAAACCTGCTCAGTTTGGGCTGGGAGGCAGTTCCCTGTATGTATTGGGGTGACAGGAGCCCTACATCACAGCACTGGCCCTCCCTGCTGACCAGTGCCCTCCCAGTAGCCTGGTCTACCTCAAGCCCTTCTTTGGCCCATCTGAACCACCGTGGACATTGGGAAGGGACTCGAGCGGCCAGACCAGCACTTCCCTTCTTAGGTAGGGAAGTTGAGGCTGGCTCTGCCTGCTGGGCTGGGGCAGGCATGGCACCAGGCCGGCCGGTGCCCTGGGCCCACTGGCCTTTCCTCCAAGCGGCTGTAGAAATGCAGGAGAGAGCTCAAGGCGTGCCCTCCTACCTGTCTTTCAGGTTGTCGATGAAGCGCTTGGTGAAGGCCTTGACCTTGTCCACCAGGGCCCCATAGGGCTTCAGCCGCAAGGCCACGCTCTCGGAGGTGTCCAGCACAAAGAAGAGGTCCACGGGGCAGTCTGGGCCAGGGAGAGGAGACCATCAGCTCATGCCTCCGGTGCCCCTGAGGCCACCTGTACCCACTTTCCCTTCCAGCCCCTCTCACCCCACCAGCCACCTCCCCAGGCAGCCACTCCCACTGCACCAAGTGGCCCTCATCAGGAAAGCTGGCACCCAGCGATGGGGTGGGGTGACCGTGAGAACCCCCACGTTCGGTCCTGAGAATCCTGCCAGGCCTCCGGGAGGCAGGGAGCCCCGCCCTGGACAGCGAAGGCTGCTTTCTCACTAGGTGCTGAGTTGAATTTAAAAGTCCCAGGGGCATGAGCGTGGGAACAGGTAACCGTGTCTCTTGACTGACTGCCAGGCAAGGAATCAAATGGGACTGACTGAGGTGGAGCAAAACCAGCCCTCGATGGGGGCCGGGACCCAAATGAAGTTCCTTCTCCACCCAGCCCTCTGGACTCGCCCGCCCGTGGTGACCACAGCCCAGGGGCCTTGTGGAGGAGCCCGGGGACCTGGGCACGGAGCTGGGGAGTTTCAAGCCCTCCAACGCGGCCCATCTCCAGCTCTCGGGAAGGGAAGAAGCCGGGTCCCAGCCCTGCCTCACCAGCAGCAGAAGCACAGTGAGTGGGAGAGGCGGCAAGTCCACTCACCTTGGAAGGCAATGGCCCTCTCGGCTGCCGGGAGGTCCTGCGCGGAGGCCCAGCAGGCCTGCAGCAGCAGGGGGAGCAGAGCGTGGGCCAGCCTCATGTCGCCGGCCTGCGTGTCACCATCGAGCGAGGGCAGGGGTCAGGGTGGGCTGAAGGCAGCCAGAGAGAGAGAGAAAAGTTGTCTCTGCTCTGGCGGGAGTTACTGCCCGGGAAGGAGGGAGGGAGGGAGGGGCCGAGGGAGGAGGAGGGGCTGGAGGAGGAGGCTGGGGCGGGCCCAGGACTGGAGGGGAGGCTGGGGTCTCCTCCAGCTCAGGAGTGAGTCACTGAGAGAAAAAGTCTGGTCTGAAGCAGCTTTGAGCCCAGGACACTGCTCGGCTGAAGGAGGGGGTATTGCCCATTCGTGGGGACTGTGCTTCTGGCGCCCGGGAGAACAAAAGTGCAGCTGAGTTTAAGATGTCTGGAAAAGAACCATAACCCCAAAGGAGTTTCCTTGCAACGTGTTTTGGTTGCTTCCAATCCAGAATCTTCTTGTGGAATCGATCTGCACGTTTACCGATCCCCACACTAACTCTTCCTACAAATGAGATGGCGTTGGTTTCAAATCCTTTGCTTTTCGGATTTCTGAGTGATTTTTCATGTCTATATTTCTTCAGTTTAGTCAAGTGCATATTTGGAAAAACATTTCAATTTTTACCGTGAGACAACAAAGTCAACATATATATTCGAGACCCTGTGTGGGTGGGTTCCAGGTGTGGTCAGATCACCCCTGCCTCCGAGAAGGTTCCAGAAGATCTTTGCTGGAGCTGGAGCTGTTGACACTTGTCTAAAATCAGCCTAAATGGTTTATAGTTTAAAAACATGCAAACATTGTATAACCATCGTAAGGAAACGTTTGAGAAAAATTTCAGAAATTATACTTCTCAGTGGTTGTTCTAGGGTTTCTTCCAATATTTTCTTCGTTTCCCCCACCTACTTTATAGGATTTTTAATAAATAATTGTACGGGTAACCTTGCTGCTGCTGATTCCATCCCGATTGTGCGAGGGCATTTCTCCCTGTGCTCTGGGGCTCGGTGCTGCGGCGTCCAGCTTATGGGCGCCCAGTTCACACGGGGTCAGGTCCGCGTGCAAGGCTGTGGCCTGCTCACTCGGCCTCTCCAAGTCTGAGCTGTTTGGTTTGCAAACAGCGACAGCCCTGAGATCCTGCAGGCTTGGGAGAAGAATATGTTGTGTGTAACACTAAAACAGTAGAGGCCCAGCCAGGCCATGCAGGATTCCGGAGATGGCAACTGGGCACTGGGCTCAGCCACGTGGTTGAGTGATTTGTTACCCAGCAGGCGAGAACACACTGTCTATAAAATGGAAAGAAATGTCCACCTTGCTCACCCCGGGGCAGCTCTATGTGGCCTGAACTTCTCCAGGGCAGGGCAGGGCCGTGTGGGTCTGCCCAGCGGAAGGCTGCTCTCGCTCAGGGGCTACCCGCCCTGGATGGGCTGGAGGAGCCTTCAGAAATGTTATTTTTCCTTTTACAAAAAAGATACATGCTCAGCATAGAGAGGTTACAAATAGAGAAAAACACCATTTTGTCTCACTACCCAGAGGCAACCAGAGCTAACACTTCCCTTTCTCTTACAGTCTTTCTGTTTAAACATGTTTACAGACATATGGTCACCTGCTGTATACCTGATTATAAAAGTGACATGTAGGCACTAAAGAAAATATGAAAAATACAGAAAATATGAAAAGGAAACTAAAAACCACCCTGCACTCTTCGTCCAGATGTGCACAGCTGGCTTGCTGTGTGTTTCACATGGGGGAGGGGAGGCTGTCTTTGACTCCTCACTCTCCAGATCCTTCTGTCTCCGGGAGCGCTGCCGGGTCCTCACATGGTGGGGTTGCCTCTGAAAGTGTCAACATGGACCCCCCCCCCGCTCCAATCCAGGCCAGTCAGTAGTCAATGTTCATGCACAAAACCTGTCCCAGCTCCTCCTGAGAGCTGGTGAGATGAGCTGGCGGGGTGGGGCTGGAGGTGGGGGTGGGGTGTCTGCAGAGACTGGGCTGAGGGGTGCAGGGATCTTTTGTGGGGGTAGCAGCAGGGCTACTGCAGGTTTGAAAGACCTTCTGGAGCAGCTGGCAGCCCACTGGCAGGTGACTGGGGAAGGGCCTCGCCAGGTAGGTGAGCTTGGACAGCCTCTGTCTGTGTTCTTGTGTCTGGCCCCTCTCTGGGCCAGTTCCACTACCAGGGGCCAGTGCTGGGGGCCCCAGCACCTAGGACAGGGCGGTCCCGTTTCAAGTGAGAGGAATCAAGGCCCTGGGGGCAGAAGGAGGACATGGGCTGGGTGTCCAGAGGCTTGTGGGACAGGCCTGTCCCCCAGGACCTGAGGGAAGATGGGGTTGGTGACAGGGAGAGACCCCTGCTCATCTCCGGGCCTGACGCCCATGTTGGGTGGCTGTTTCAGGGAAGCATTGGGTGCCATGTGGGGAGGGGGGGGTTGGAGGCACCCAGAGGGCACATGGCACAGAGCCTCTGTGTGTGTGTGTGTGTGTGTGTGTGTGTGTGTGTGTGTGTGTGCGATGGTGCCCAGGAGGTGATCTGCACCCTGGAGCCCCGGCCAGTCTCCTGCTCATCCCCTGGCCTAGACTGGGACCCTGGAGTCAGTCCCCCTGATAGGAGCCTCCACGAGCCCCTGGGAAAGGCCCCTGCTTTCTCCCCGTCGTTCCCATGTCCCTGCCACTCTTGGT